CAATAAGCTTTGCCCAATTCCTGGGAGGAAGGGCCAATGATGGAGGTGTGCCTTCATCTCGCCCTAGTAATTGTAGTTGTTGCTGAGTGGTCTACGGACATGGATGTATTTTTTATTTCTAGTGTTCTTTGTACTGCCATGATGTTTGATGAATAGATTGGAAGTTTTCCCCACAGAGAAAAAAGTTGGTCGTTACTAAAGGTTTTCTTTATTTTATTTTCTTAATGTTCAAATTCATTTTTTTAAATTTTTTATGATATTTTCATTTTTATTAATCTCCTTTTTCCTAAGTTTTCTTTTTCATTGCCTTTTTATATTTCTTGATTTTTCTTTTAAGTTCATTTTTCATTTCATTTAAATATTTTTAGTTACCTAAATATTGCTTTATGCATATTTTTGAAACTCTATGATTTTTAATACTATTTCACTAGTTTTCTTAAACTTAATTTATCTATTTTACAAATACATGCAACATAAAAGTTTCCTATCGGTACTTTTTATCATTTCTTGATTTTGTTACTTCATCCGTTCATAAATATAAGTCTTTTTAGAGATTCCACTATGTACTACATATGGAACAAAATGAGTGAATCTACACTCTAAAATATGTCTATATACATCCGTATGTAGTTCGTAGTGGAATCACTAAAAAGAGTTATATTTAGGAATGGAGAGAGTAGCTTTTATGATAATAGGGTTGCCATGCATGTGTGTGAAATTGTTGGCACGTTGTCACCAAAACCCTCTCTAAGGTGGAGCCTAGTTGAACCTGTCATTCTTATAACACTTGCGGGACCAAGAACTTCAATGCAAGAGTTAAATGACCAAACTCAGACTTTGACAAAAGTCGAGGGACCAAAAAATGCAATTGCATATATATAGTCTATTGCACGGTCCCTTGCAGGTTTGAGACAAATTGTAACAAACATGTGTTGTGTGCACATACTTCCCTTTCCTAGGCCATCTTCTTTTACTGTAGCAGTTTCAGTGAACAACGAATGCAGTCTAGGTGAATATTTACACGAGAGGATGCAAATACCGGTAATGATTTACACACATTGCATTGTTACATCGGTGGGACAATGCTGTCGAAAGGCGGTGATATCGACAATCGTACCCACCCAGCAATCTCTAGGCGAGGAGATTCGTTAAAGACGTGAAGCTAGGTAGCTAGTAACCCCTGCGTTGATTACATCGATTGGGGTAAAACAAGCATCCATCCATGCATGGCAAGATCAAAACATGAGCAAAAGCAAAGATCGTGTTCTGTCAGAAGAAAAAAGAGGAGGGACCAAGATAAACAACCCCTCCCATCCAATGGCTAGCTAATGAAAGACCCCCTACCTAGAGAGAGGCGAGAGAGAAGCACACATAGATCTGGAGAGAAGAAAACTAACAATAATGGTGCATGTGCTACCAAGCTTTATCCCTCAAAGGGGAGGGGGTGTGAAGAAGCACAGCAAGAGGGGGGAGGAGGAGACTGGCCTGCTGCCACATAGGCATTGGGGAAAGCAAAGCAAAGGAAATGCCTGGCATGAAAGCGAGCCAAAGGTAGGGGGAGAATCAGATTCCCCTGAACATGCTGGCCATGGCCATGCTCGCGCGTACCAAGAATTCAGGCAGGATCTTGGACCATTCCAAACAAAACCCTAGCTAGCCAGCCCCCCTTTCGCTTTTTGTGACAGTTTTGCCTCCCCACCCCCCACCCCACCCCACTGTGCTTTTGGGCACACCCCGCTATAATTCCTCCTCATCATCATGCATGCCCCTCTGCCTTGCCTAGCTTCTTTAGTCGTCCATATATGCTTGCATCGATGCTGTAATTTATGTGGTCGATCTGACGCGAACTTCCATGCAATATGCCATGGATAATATGCTCATCATGCGCCACATCCGTACATGATATGGTTTTGTGAGAGCTAGCTAGCTGCTGCTAGTCCCATCGATCCGGCCGGCTGTGTACTTCTCCACCAATTTTCATGCACGATATATATTCAACCTATAAGGCCACCAATCATTGAACGCCTGCCAGCAGCTGATAATCAGATGAGAACAAGAAATCACTTTTGTTCACTCATGCCATGCGTCGTAATTTCAAAAATCACATCTGTGCATTTTTTTCTAAAACTATATATTTGAACTTCACTTTTTTCTAGAAGAACCTCAATGCAGGGGCAGGTGTTATTACTGCATTTTATTAAGAAAAATAGAGATGATCCAGTTTATAAGGAAAACCAAACGAAAAAACCTAACATTCCCTGCTTAATTAGGGGAAAACGAGTGAAAACCCAACACGAAAACAGAAAAAAGACACCTAACGTTTGAACTCCTTTTTGCCTCTAACAAAGTCCATATGTTCACATACATCGCTGCTTATATGCTCTTGCCACTTTTTTGAGTTTGCATCATGGTCTCATGTGCTTGGGGATTCGATCACATGCCGGCCCTACTAGTAGTATACAACCAGCTCTTATCGACATACCATTGGTTATTTAGGAGATATTTAATTTACACAATCTTTTCATGGATTGCTGACTAATTTATCATATCCCTTGCACAGATAAATATTGCCATGACCACGCAAGTGTAAAGGACTACAAAGTTGTATGTATAATGTCATGGTCAACACATGCACTCTAGCTAGTATCTTTCTCTCTCGCTTTAAGTTGAATGTATCTACACACATACTTGTCGTTACATGCAACAGTAAAATATCAAAAGAAAGGGGCGTAATTACATTAAATTAAGCTATTATTTCCCGAATTCTTTGTTCCTAGTACCACCTTTTCACTCGTTAATTACTGCAGAGAAAAATAAATACACCTTTTATTTTAGAAAGAGAACAATACAACTAAGAACTTAGAGCATCCCTAACCGATCCCCAATAACCGGTTAGAGGACGATAAATCTGGTTTTCCTCCGCTAAGTAGGAACTAACCAAACCCCAAAAATTGTTAGGGGAGGATTTTTTGTACTCCAAGCCCCCCACAAATGTACTCGGCCGAGCAGCCGTGGAGTAAAATCCTCCACCCCACTTCGTTCTCCTCCCACCGGCCCCTTTGCCCAATCGACGCCGGGGCGTCCCACCATCACCCATAGCCACTCCACCGCCGACCCACCACCGAAAATGGCCGGATCCATCCACCACCGCTCCCCATAGCACATCCCCGGCGCTCGGCCCGCGGATCCACGTTGCCATGAGTGTCGCCACGCCAGCGCATCCTGCCTCCCCAACCTGCCGCCCCCACCGCCGCAACCACCAAATTAGATCGGCGTGTGTTAGCGCCAGTGGGGGACATGGGCCGCAGATATATAGAACTATGACACCGGCAAGCGACATTGTCTTGGCTCCTTCCATTCCGCGGTGCATGTACACACATATGACATCAAGTTAGTCAATCTCCACAGTGCCGTCGCCCGACGCAACTTCTCCCACGGTCTACCGCGGTTGGAGCCGGTCAACCCCTAGGTGGCCACCCGACGAGATACACATGAAGACTGTTAGGCCCGCGAGTGCTCGAGGTAAAGCAAGCCGGCGAGGCCTACATGGTGGAGCTCGCTGCTACTACCTGGAGCGCATCAAGGTAGAGCACCGGCAGTACAAGCAGTACGGGGCCTGGAGGACGGAGGTCATCGACCTCTACAGCGACTCCGACAGCGACGAGGGACCTGGCTGCTCATCGGAAGGCTCACCGAATTGGAGTGCATGAGGATCGAGAATGAGACTAATAGTTAGTAGCTTAATTAGTTTTATTGCAATAATGTTCTAGATATCATTTAGTATGTGTAAATTTGTTATGTATTTCTATTTCGAATCAATTTTGTACATAAGCAAGTTCGCATCTAGTCTAAATTTGCACGGAATTTGTGTTGATTTTTTTGCTCTGTTAAATTTAGTAGATAGGTTAGAAACGACACTTGTTTAGAGGAGCCAATCTCGTCCACTAAAGGATACTCGGCCGTATCCTCCTTTAAATTTTAGGAGATTGTTTAGAGATGCTCTTAGCATATACACGATACATCCAACAACATGACACATCAGAGTAACTAGCCTTACTGAATACATAAGTACTCCCTCCGTTCCAAAATAGATCACTCAACTTTGTACTAACTTTATACTAAAGTTAGTAAAAAGTTGAGTCATCTATTTTGGAATGGAGGGAGTATATGTGTACGCCTTGTGCATTTTCAGACAAAACAATGAATCACAACTTAACGGAGTACAACTTCTGATTGCAACAAACTAGCTCACAAAATTAAATATGAAAAGGCTCATCTAAGACGACGTTCGACAGTCAAATGAGATATTCTTAAGTCTCAACCGGTTTTACAAAATTGTTCATACAAATTTAAGAAAATAGTCACTGTGCTGTGATTTTTGTTCATCTAGTGGAAAAAAATGCATTGTTTATTCTCATATCCAAAAAAAATGTTAAGTTTTGCATGCATCTCATAGTCATATTGACAATTCTCGGAGTCGACCGTGACTTAATTGAAAAAGACCAGTCATCCGAGACTCAATAAAACCATAGTGAAAAACCTTCACGCAAACACGCGAAGTAGATCCTTGATACAAAGAGAACCTGACATATATAAATCATCAAGAGTTTGATGAAACTAGCACAGTGTAGAAGCGGGACATTGGTACATACCCACAAATTAATGCATGAAAAAAGTAATAAAACTCAATTGGAAAGATCCCAGAGAGCATGCATGTGGAGGGGCTACCAACACACTACACTTAGCTGCTAAGTATATGAAACAACAATTAAACAATAGTACTACAAATTAAGGCCATAGTGATCAAACACTCAACAGACAAAAGGTTAACATTCTTGTGTATGCATTGATATCCCCCCTCCTCTAGAGATCTCGATCGACGAGATGGATCGAGTTCTTGTAACACATATTGTAGTGATGAAGAATTTATACATCCCCGGCCCCATTTCACCATGCATCAACCTAGGTTTGCAAGAACAAAGCTAGCTAGATCTAGCTAGCTAATTACCAGCTGCATTGCTAGTGCTGGAATAGAAATTGAAGCCGCCGCCATTGCCATTGACCACGTCCCCGTACATGCCCCTGCTGCTTGGGTAATCCTGCTGCTGCTGCTGGTTGTAGTCCCTCTTGGCCGGCTGGTGGTGGAACTGGTGGTTTCCCCCATCGTCGCCATTACCGCCGCCGCCGCCGCTCTGTAGCCCGAGGTGGAACATGCCCTGCATCGCCGCCATTGTGGTTGGCATTGCCGAAGCTGATTGAGGATTCCCGGACATCTGGTGGTCCATGGCGTGCAGGAACGGGAAGCTCTGCATGTGCGCAGCCGCCCACTGCTCCATGCCGTTCCCGTTCCCCTGGTGGTGGTGGTGCTGCTGCGCGCCACCGTCGGCAGCGTAGGCGCCATTGTCGGGGAAGAGCAGCCTGGCGGGGAAGCTGAGGCCGAGGCTCGCGGGGTCGAAGCTATCGGCGAACCGGCTGCTGTGCGGCGGCGCGCTGCCGAACATGGAGTACTGCAGAGCGGGCGGCGCAGTGGCAGCTGTGCCGGTGGTGCAAGCAGTGGTGCTGGGCGTCGTCGACGTCGCAGACGACGTCCCTGCCGCGGCAGTTCCGGATCCAGCCGACCCGGCCTTGGGCTTGGTGCTGCGCTTGGCGTGGCGACGGTACCCTCCGCCGACGGGGACGTTGCGGAGCGCGCCGCCGCGGGTCCAGTAGCGGCGGCAGGCCCGGCAGAAGTGGCGGGGCTGGGTGAGGGAGTAGTTGTTGAAGTAGCAGAACTTGGTGTTGGTGGAATCGCAGCGCGGGCAGTTGAGCCCCGGCTCCGGCTGTGGCACCCGCGCCAGCCGCGCCCGCTCCGACATCGACATCGGCTTGTTGTTCCCGCCGCTGGCGCTGTCACCATCCCCACCGCCGCCGCCACCACCATCACCACCACCTCCTCCCGCCCCGGCCGTGGCCATTAATCCTTCCTGCTGACCATGATTGTTGTTGTTTCCGCCTCCTCCGTCTCCAGGACCATGGCCAGCAGGTGAAGGAGTAGTAGTGATATGAGTGTTACTGCCGATTTGCTGCAGCTGCAAATTAAGTGGTCAGGAATTAAGCGTCAGCCAAGATGTGTATATGGAGTATATTCCAAGATACATAGTGCAGCAATCAGCAGAGGATGTATATCTGCCATCAGCAAACCCTAGCTTAGCTAGAACATATTCTCTCTCTCTCTCTCTCTCTCTTTTTCTTGCGTGAACAAAATCTTGCGAGAAGAATTAATTGACCGCAAGGATGCATACCTGAAGCTGGTTGTGGTTGGTGTTCCAGCAGCTTGATGAGTCGAGGAAGGCAGGAGGGAAGATCATGGCCGGCGATCTAGACTTCCAGAGAGAGTTGTTGGGAGAGGAGAGAGGTGTTTGGGCGGCTGGCAGGGCTGGAGGTTGGAGAGAAGAGATAGTGGGAGGAAGAGACTTGGCAGCTGCGGCAGCTGGGGAAATCAAAGGGAATCAGAGTACTAGTACCAAGGAAAGGAATGGAATGGAAGCTAGAGGAGACAGGAGGGTCTAGCTCTTGACTGCTTTGAGAGGGAGCGAGAGCTACCCAAGAGGAGAGAGAAAAAGGAGAGAGCGCCAGGTAGCAGCACAACCAAGAGATGAGAGAGAAGGCTCTCTCTCTCTCTCTCTCTCTCTCTCTCTCTCTCTAGCTTGTGGCGATTTGGAGGAGGGAGAGGACATCATCTTGTTGTTGTTTTCCTTTATTTACACACTTTTGCTTTTTCCATGGTGAGTGCTGATGGGGCTGAGACGGCTACCCATGCTACCTTGCTGATGCATGCAGTGTTGCTAGCTACAGTTGCAATAATTAATTAATGTCGTACTGATTAGCTAGCTTGCTATAGTTGATTTGCAGCCACATAATAGTCAATACCAGCCCATAGAGTTAAATGATATAAACTACTAGTGTTTTAGTAATTTTGTTTCACTAACTTTGTTTTGACACTCCAAGTTCAGCCAACCTTAAAAACCAATAAGGTTTTTTGCGGGAACAATGGTTGATTGCAGTCCTAAGCAAAAGATAAAAAAATACACTTTGGATACTTGGATTACACGAAAATAAAACCTCAGCTTTGAAATTTTTCCTAGTAGTTTGGAGGAAACCAACATCTCATGGGGAAGTTCACTTCAATTTTGAATGCACCATGCATGTGTCTTCTTCCAATGAAGCAAACATTTAATCTCAAAATTCCTGTGTTATTTGTAATCCCACGGTTCCATGGAGGCCCTATAATGTTGGACCTTAGTACAATTTTCATGTTGAGATGTGGATGTCCTAAAGGAAAAAGAGACCACGACAAATTTGGGACTAAACTTCTTTTTTATCAAGTAACTATTGGTTGAGTTTATTTGTGATTATATACTCGAATATATATAAAGATTGATGATTTGACCACCGACATAGTGAAAGTGGCATGACTAGTGACGCGACACTCGTTTTGCAAACAAGAAGACAAGCACAAAATAGAACATAATATGAAAAAATCTAGGAAAATATAAAAAGGTGAATAAATTTAGAAGTAGTATTAAATTGAGAAATTTGTAAAAACTCATAAATAAATTATGAATATTTTTTAATATTATTTTGAGAGTATTTTATGTTTATTTCAAATGATTTTGGATTTTGAAAAGATATTTAGAATATTTTGTGTTTATGACATTTTTTAATTTTATTTCCTTTTACTTACATGCTAATTGTTTGATAAAGTATATACATACCGGAGATGTCAAATCAAGATGTGACGCTTGAATGTTTTGTTGGTCACAATATTTATGTAAAATAGTTAATTTTAGGAAAATTAATAGATAAGCACAATTAATAAAACCGATTTAACGGATGTCATTATTTCCAGCTAATGCATCGGTAAAAACTGGGCTTATCTACCAGAATAAAGGGAGTACCACCTATTTATATTGAACTTTTTTACTTCGTGATAACTCATCTTGATGTAAAGATATATATTGTTTCTATTGATATTATTTATTCAACATACCAGCCTAAATATTATTGTATAAATAATAAGAAAAATGAACAATTTACACAAGCTCCTGCATCTTAGGTACTTATTTTTCATACTCTTCTAATGTTTATCAGTAGAAACATATTTTACAGATCTAAAAATAAATTGTATTTTGTCACAAAGAATGTTTTTTATTTTGTTTCGGACGTTTAAGCCACTATGTTGTTACAATGGATATCTTTGTAAATCTCAATAAACCAATACTACCACATTATGTTGTTTGCAGGTCACCGTATGTCGATTAAACTTGCTACTGTATTTAAGAGTAATGTATGCATCTTATAGATAAATGTCCAAATGTTTTGAGAGTACTCCATTTGTAAATAGATACTTCTAGACCAATCCCATCCTAGCTCCTGCTTGTTAAACAAATAGATACTTCTACACTTGTATGGATATCAACTAGAAGTATGTTCTCCAATTCCATCTTAGCTCTTGGTTGGTGAGGTGGGACAATAGTTTGCCGTGCCAACATGCGTACTCTATAGTTTGTACAAATCCATGTATTTTTTTTTGACAAGGGACACGAAGATCCTCGAAACCGGTGTTTATAATATCAAAAGTTATACATCAGTATCGAAAGGACTTGATGTACAGCAAGAGCATAGGGTGTTGTAGCATTTCCATGGCAAATAGAGTGTCGAACCCGCAAGGAGAGAAAAGTAAGGCACTACTAACCCTGTAACTACATTTTCACCGATGAAATTCGGTACACGCCCAAACCGGAGTTTGGAAATAGCCTATTCTATAAATCGCTGCAGAAACGGAATAAAAATGACTTTACCTAGAATACGAACTGAAGGTAAAAATAGGAATAAGAAAAATGCTAAGTTAGTATAGGCAGTGCTTGAGCAATAAGGTCACTCGAGTGTTCCGTAGTCATCACTACTAATATGATCCATGCAACAAGTGCGGAGCATAGGTCTATGAATTGTCCCTAAACTACTCTTTATGTGCTTAAGTGGGTGGTTTCGCATACAGACGCGGCCTCACCAAGGGTTCTCTATTATTCCCCTACGGATTGGACAAGGTGAAGGTAGAGGCTTTTTACCGGCACCTCAAATTACTTCAACATCCTAACCCAGAACAACAGCAGTAATATGGTTGACAGCCAATCAAGGCGACAATGTTGTGTGCGTACTCCTCACAACACACATGAAAGCTACTCCAACATAAACAAAAGATATTGGCTCGCCTAATTGAATTTAATTCTAATCATAAAGAGTTCATCCATATACCCAAGAACAAGTACAACTGCTCAAACATAAAGTCGGGTAACATAGAGGAGAGAGTCAAGTTACAAGTCGGCATCGAGTAGGGGAATGGAGAACACATGGTGGCGTTGGTGGAGGCGGCACCAATGGTGATGGCGTGGTAGAGATAGTGATGTCAGCGGTGGCATGGTGGAGAAAGCACCGCCCCGAAGGCCGATGCGGTGTGTGCTAGAGCCTTCTTTTCATTCTCTTGATCTCGTTCCTTCTTCTATCGAGGTGGTGTTGGAGTAGCAATAGACGTGATGGAGGTTGATCTTGGATGTATGATGGATGATGGAGGCGACTAGGCTTGAAGATGTGTATATAAGGGCTCTATGAAAGCCTCATCCGTAGATGTATCTTTTCTCCTTTGGTTCAAGGGCTCTAAATGAGCCAAATCCTCTGCCAAAACTTCCTTTGATGGCCAAAGATGTCGAAGGAAAAAAATAGGAATGAAATCCACCAAGAATCCCATCTGGTCTGAACCATTTTGGGCTTTTCTGGGCATGGAATAGTTGTACCGTGCCTCATCGAACGTTCTGGTCTTCTTCGGAGAATGATTGTCATTCCGAACTCGGATTTTGATGTTCTTGGGCTCATTAGAATCGTACTTCCTCCATCCAAAAAAGCTTGTCCCAAGCTTGTCCATCAAATGGATGTATCTAGCACCAAGTTAGTTCTAGATACATCCATTTGAGGGACAATCTTTTTCGGACGGAGGGAGTATGAACGAAGTCGATGCACCTGTGGTATTACATCTTGATTTTGAGCACTTTGAAAAAATGTCATTTTTACACTCTGAAGTACCTAAGTCTGGTGCCTGGAAGTCCTCTGTACTGAACCCAACCTTTGCTGTTTCATCATGCTTGGTCCATGGTTGATATAAAACACCTATAGACATAACGAAACTAAGGAAACTAATAAAAGTAAATAAAACACAAACTATGCAATAGTGATACTGGAAAGAGTGAAAACCGAAAACCATGCATAATGGACATGTACTTGGTTTAGTAGGAATATATGGAGATAATATGGAACAAATGAGCTGTAAAAATGCATACAAAATAGAGCCATCAGGACTCTAAAGTAAATTGAAATTTTAAGCAAATCCTTGTCATTTGCAAACAGGACCCCAAAGGACGCAATTGAAAGCAATTGAGTTCTCCGACGAGCGGCAATATTGTCGGAGATTCCTTGGACACAATCTTTGGTCATGTTGTTGCCATCATAGTGCAAGCTGAAGAGGGCCTCCCATGTGGAGGTTGAAGAAGGGGTGTTGATATTTGCCAACCTATCCACCAGTGGCCACCACTCCACATGAGCCACTCATGAAGCTCGTTGGAGACTTGTTGTTGTTTGATTTGTAGCTCAAGCATCTGAGAACACAGTAGATGGATAAGATAGGAGATGATGCTTCAAAACCAACTTAGATTTACCATGGAACCCTAGATTGGAGACAACCGACAAATGAATCCATCCTCCTCTCCTAAACTATAACCACGCTGGCCCTAATAAGAGTGTTAGATTTGACCAGCTTTGGGAAGATATGGCTATCCACCAGGATTATTGAGATGAAGCTTCTACCCAATACAACTCCCACAATCGGCATCCACCATGGGGAGAAGTTGTGTGAGGGAGCCGGCAGCAACCTGACACATGCCGCCCACTAGCGCGAGAACATAATTCCGAATTGTCATTAAGCCAAATGCCTTCTGTCCAAACCCTAACCTCGCACTACTATGTATAGCGTCACCCCATTATAGCGTCACCCCATTCCGCCCTGCCATCCCTAAACCGATTAGCTATATTGTTGGAGGGAAAATGTAGAGTAGCCTGAGTAGAATTAGAGACTATCAATGGGGGGAGGTGGGAACATGAGAGAGACATGGGAGGAAAAAATGATGGATTCCTCCCATGCATAGTATGCATAATTTTTTAGAATCTAAAATTCTGTAAGTATAGTGTTGTTCACTAGATTTTTTGCTTTAATTATCTCAAAAAATGCGGGATGTCTAAATTGTGAACCTATTCCAGAGAT